TTATAACATATTACATTTTATCTAATTTCTCTGGATCAATAAAGTTGTTTTGAATTGAATTTGAATTTAAAAAACAAACGTGGTAAAAACAGAGAAAAGCTTGTTTTTCCATCCTTACCTTGCGAATCCCTCTTGTTCGGTTCCAAACAAAGTCGTACCAGTCCCGGCAGCCGTCCTGAACCTGGTCCAGGATCTGGGTCACCAAGTAGTCCATGGTCATGCTGAGCACAGGCAGGGGTCTCAGCTCGTGAGGAAGGGGCTCCTCTTGGTCGGCAGAGGAGCGGCTGTACTCCTTTATGGCAGCGGCATGGTCCACCTGTGAWACGGGCCAAAAATAACAGAAAACGTAAGAAAAGCTCCAAACGAGGAGCATGAAGAGGATAAAAACTGAAGTCCTACCATCTCTGTGTTCGGGACCACCTCGAACACGCTGAGCTGGTTTCGAGTCTCTCTCATGTACCTCTCCTTCTCTGGACACATGTCAGGACACGTCCCCACAAACACCTTGGACATGTCCAGGTCTGTCCTCTTGGGTCGACCTGGGAGGACATAAAAACATGTGTGACCTTTGACCTTCAGGTGCTGCAGGTTTGGACGTGAGCCGGCCTGAACCTTGGCGCAGGATCTTGTCTATTTGTTCCAGGAGGCGGTACTTGTCCTCGGTGGTCTCGGCTACCTGACCGATCAGGTGAGTCAGGGAGGACGGGACGGGACGCTCTGAGCTCTGGGACTCGGTCACGTTGTCTTTTTGAGGTTCAGGGTCAAACTGCAGCAGCTTGACCGGAGAAGGCTTCTTCACCGGAGAGCTGAAACCATCAAACAGTGATGCAGGAAATACTTTTAAGAAAAGCAGCTTAATTCAGATTATTCTGCTGGATTACCRGTGGCTGAAGGTGACCGAGCTGCTGAGTGTGGGAGGCATGAGGGCGGGCCGTTTGAGAGGAGAAGCAGCTGCAGCTTTGGTCTCTTTGACTTTTGGACTTCCTTCTCCAGTTTGCTCCAGTTCTCCTGCAGCTCGGCCCCCTTTGTCTCCTGGACCTAATCCAGAATAAAACAAACTCAGACTCCAAGAAGAAACGTTTTCCATCGTGTGACGCAAATAAAACACTCTCCTTAACACAACCTCAGATAAAGAGCTCATTAAAAGGGATCCACAGTTAGTTGTAACAATAGACTTTATTTGATAAACATATATTTTAACTGTAAAATAAAAACTGTAAAAATACTGTAGGATGTTCAGTTTTATAAATTTTTAAAAATATATTTTAACACGGACGGAGCTGTTTTATTTACACACAAAGAATTCTTTGT